TAGTGTTACCTTGATTGTTATGTAGCAATAACAATCCCAAATCTCCTTGTATTGACTTTGGAAGGCTTAGAGTCACAAGTGTCACTCCTCTAATGGCTCACAAACACCATAAGCAAGTGGAGAAGGTATAAGGAGAGAGTGAGAGGTTAGAATTCGTATCTAGGACCTCTTGGGAAGGGATACACGAATTCATGGCCCTAGGGGTGTTTATATAGGTGTAGAGATAGGGTTTCAGTCATTATCCTTATCTAGTTGATTATCCATTAAGCAACCAATAAGATAATCCTTGAATCCTTATCATAGTCGAATTCTAAGGGATTTACACCTCAAATTCGTTCACCATATATATAAGGTAATCCTTACCTTATTTTGTAACTATCACATAATTAAAATTCAGCCCCTCTAGTTTAATTAATTACATTTGATCACAAAACTAATTCTTAATTAATTATTGACCAATATTAATTAATAAATATGATTTCTCCTTTAATATATTATTCTTATAACATATTAATAAATCATATTATCCTCTCTCTCTTTATTCATTTCTCCAATCAAGTTGCTTTGGTGAAGGCAACCTAAAAGGACCATGCACCATCGGGTCAAGTACATACCAAAATAGTTATGGACTTAGACACTAATCCAACAGTTACGCCATGCGTAACCTTGGGTACGTCCAGCGTACCTAAGGGGGAACGCGTCCAAATGAGGCGCACGAGTACGCACGGCGTACGCCTTGTACGCCCAGCGTACTCGACTAACATGAAACCCTAAATTAACAACATAACCCAAAATAGAAGAATACCTGGATTCGGGCTGTTACACGAAGAACAAAAGGAAATACAAAAAAGATGAAAATACCCACAATTTTGTTCTTTGGGTCACTCTTTCCTTGACTTCCTTGAGAACATTGGTATGGGTTGCGCATATCAACAATATTCAGAAAAAAAATAAGTCTTGCAGGGAAAATTAAATTATAAACCTCTAGTTAACCCTAAGATCCACTAAATCCATCGAACCCAATTGTTGATCTTTCTTCGACGAACAACATCAGAATGATTACAAACAAGCAAAAATTCAATAAGTCGGCCAACATTTACAATAAAATTCTATAATTTCATATGAAAGTAAAATAAAGTAACGAACAAACCATATTGAACCAACTAAAAATTATTGAGATTTTATCCTTCTCATTAAACATATATTTAGTCTAGATAATCAGGATGCACTAATTAAGCCTAATTAGCATATTATACAATAACTTCCATAGATTCATGTTACCAGCTTAAATAGAGTCATATTCAAATAGAAGTTTGAAGTGAACTATCATAGTATAAGAGATGCAAAGTTACCTATTTAAACAAACACTCAACTTTCAAATAGAACCTTGTTCAAATATGATGAAAATAAATAGATTAAATACAAAAACATATAAATGAAAAAGCTACACACTAAATGAAAGAGATGATTCATTACATGGAGAACAATCCTCTAATTTGTCCATACTTAGTAGCATGTCTTCACCATTTTATGTTGTTACTACTACACACCTTTCAAACTGATCACAAAACCCCACAAAATTACCATTGATAAACTATTCATTTGCATTATCTTTCTGCCAAGGCTATACAGATACCGGGGGGGGGGGGGGGGGGGGGATCACCCGAATGTGAAAACGAAAAAGGTGATAGTGATTTCCATTCCAAAAAAAAAAAATCCAAATTGTGTTCAGTACAAACAAGAGACCAATAAAAATTCCACATATATAGAGAAGAAAAGATAGAGAGAAGGGGCGTATGTTACATGGTAGAAAAAACAACGATGATGATGAATTCCAAATCTGCTCTCAAATCTGATCAACCAACAAAAAATCCAAAAAAATTTCCAAACCGTAGTTTGTGCATACATCATAAAAAACGAACAAAAAACCCCACAAAGTGTACAACACCTTAGTGACGATCAGTTATGATGTGTTTTTAGATTAATGGTTTATAAAGAAATAGAGATATATGCAAATTGTGGTGGGGTTGCGAGGGTAAAAGCTGGATAGAGCCTGTCGGTGGTGCGAGAAAAGAAGAATGGGTGGTGATGCACTACTGGTTCGTGGTCGTTCATTGCCAATGGTGGTCCCCGCCTTTTCATTTGCCTTCAAGGAGGACCTGGTTGCTCCTCCATGATCAGAAACTTCTATAAACTCGGTCTATGGAAGGTAACAGCTTTAGTGAAGGAAAACGTCGAACACCTTACACTTGAACCTTTTGGAATCATATATACGACCTTCTTTTACTCGATAATCTACTTGGAACTAGTTTTACTGGTGGTTGCATTGATGATTGCTACAATGGTTAGTGTCGATGAGTGGTGACGGAGATGGAGAGCAAGTTAGGGTAGATAGAGAGAGAGAGAGCAATATTGACAGATCATGATGCGTTGTCGTTGCCAGAAAAATGTTGCGAGAGGGCTCAGTTGAATCAGGGTGGTTCACTAGCAATGGTGGTGAGGAGGATGAATCAGGCTGATGAGGATGTCGACGTTTCTAAATAGGGTTTTTGATATTTGTTTGAGGAAAAAAGTGATTATAGAGATACCGAGGAGAAAATAGAAATTATTGCTTACTTTCTTGATTTAATTTCTAAAGTTAATGTTTATTTGTAAATCGTAAATGTAAAATGTGTGTATTGATTGGTAAGAATAATTTGGTTGTACATGATGTAACATGTAAACAGGTATGGTACCTCTTAAATTTCAAGAAATGTTAAATATATATATATATATATATATATATATATTATATATATATATATATATATATATATATATATATATATATATTATATATATATATATATATATATTGAAAGAATGCTAGAAAATTATAGGACACATGTTGTCAGGTACAAAAAATGTAGCATTAAAAAAAACTTTTGTGACCAAATTCTAAAGACACTAAAGTATATTGTTCCTAAGGTTTATGTATATATAT